CTTATTCTTTCAACAAGGTTCCTTCCGCTAGAACGACTCCGGTGGGCTCAGTGGGCGCACAAAGGGCATCATACCGGCAAAATCACAAACTTGTTCGCACCACCGCCGTCTTTGCAGATGATGCCAATATCGGTCGGTTTCAGAAGCGAAGACCGACTTGTGAAAGGTGCTTTGATCTCGCCTGAAACAACTCGGACCCCATTCGGTTCATAGATGCAGTGCCTTGTGGGTCTCCTACAGCTGCGCATCGGCTGCGCATCGGCTGTAATATCGCCGAGCATCCGCTGTCATACAGCTGCGGACCCGCTGCCAGACAGCTGCGGATCCGCTATTGTCGGAAGCGCATGATCGCAGGGCGTCAGAGATCCTTCTTCAAAGCTTGCAACGAGGGAGGCTGGAAACAGATCGTCTGTTCATGGGGAGACACTGTTGGACCAGCCAGCTCTGTGAAGGTACTTAAAGGCCGTATGAGAACGATATGCCACGGATAGAAAGCCATCAACTTCCATCTCTTCTCACTCGCTTCTCTTCATCCCAATCCTTCCACCCAATATGGTTGGCCTTATCTTCTTGCACAAAGCGGCTTCCTGCCTCCTTTTCTGCTTTTGCCTGTACATCGCCGATGTCCGTGGTGCGCCTTTACCTGCCGGCTCGGATGAATGGCACATAGGTCCGTCGGGCGAGGGTTCTGGGATTTGGCAGGGGGACCCGTCCTGGTACCATGCGCCTTCGCCACAGTATCACAATCCTTACCATCCGATGTACCATGACCCGTCGACTCACTACTACCAGCCCAACCACGGTGTCATGAGCCCCGCTTTTGCGTCCGATCCGCACGCTGCTATGCCTTGGTCACACATTCCAGCGACTCCCGAACAACACGCTTCTGTGCCTTGGTCACCCGCTCCAACGACTCCCCTTGACCAGACCGACCACGCAATCCTCGGCTCTCTCCTCGATGAGACGCCCGCCGCCGATCCGGGACCCAGCGGATCAGGCAGGCCAGGAATCATGAGTCGCCTGCACTCAAGCTTCACCGGAAAAGCTCCTGCCGCACAGGGGCGTCCCGTGCAGCCGGTCTCAGCGGCCGCGGTCGAATCTTTCCCGATCCTCGAAAGCGCGCATCCGGAACATGTGGTGGCAGAGGCCAACATTTGGCGCGGAGGTCATCCGCCGGAGCCATTCGAGGGTCTCGAGCCAGTGCGAGGTGTCAAGGGCCCTCAGCATCTGGAGTCGATTCCTTTGTCTCCCCCTCCTCTGCCGGAAAAGCCGGCCAACTTGAAGTACAAGTTCGTGAACTTGGCCAAGGACGCCAAGCTGCGCAGAATGATCAACATCCGCCTCTTCGACAACAAGCTCAAGTGGATCGATCCCGAAGACCTCCCACTCGAGATGCAGCGGTCTCAACGAGCGGCTGCGCTCCAGCCGAATCGCCTGGTGCCGTTTGTCGAAGATTCATCGAGAGCGGACCCTGCCGATGGCGCGGCTCGCCAGATCCGTATGGTTCCACAGGAAACCATCCAGAGCCACGACTACGCCAAGTACCACATCGTCGACTTCTGGAGTTATCCGAAAACCAGTGGGGCCGCGTTCAGGAAGCCGGTAATCAAGCACATCGGGACCGGCATCCTGGACCCAGAGGATGTCGGTTGGGTCGACCGCCACCTTGGGTTCATGTCCACCATCCCCGAGTACAGTGAGCATGTCATCAGACGACTGCGCGGCTAGTGCAGGCGCTGCAGAGACCGTCCTAGCCGTACTCATCCTCGAGTAGATCAAAAGCGTCTTGCCGCTCGTGCTACATGCCATCGCTTCCCGATCATTTCTCTTTTCCTTGACTGCCCCTTTCCTTTCAATGTCTCGCTCCCCTTGACTACACTTTTTGTCGTTGCAGTGCAATTTTCACTTTATGCTCTATGCAGCCGTGCTTGGTCTTCTGTCCCGTACGTGCGATGTTTGAAGGGTATGAAGTCAGTCCGCTCGAGCGCTCGGGTATGAGTCGTTGCAACTAACAACTGTGCCCAATTGTAGCGAGGCGAGTACATGTCAAGGCTTCCGCTTTGTACAGCGGGCTCGAATCGAATTGCATCGCTGCAGAGAGGTTGTCAGCTGTCAATTTTGCTGAGCGATTCACAAACTGGAGGAAACCTGAGTCCGCGCATTCGCTCCTAGTCATACCGTATGCGGGCCAGATCATTGGTTGAGATCGAGTTTGCGAACAAGGGTACGCTTGTCTCACTTGCCTTCTTTTCTTAACACAAACAGGATGGTATGATTTTATCTTTGTCGATTGCACGAGAAGACGAGGTGACTGGTGTCCTTGCGCTATCATTAGAAGACATGTGCGGCTTTCATTTGCGTGCCTGATGCAGTGTAACAACCTCCTCGTTCTCTTACTTGTCGAAATCTACATTGTTCGCTTTGTGGTCTTCCTTGAACGGTAACCATTACCTTATCGCTCATCGCACAGCACAACAGCACGAGGCAAAACCACTGTATGTCTTGGTTGTAATGCAATACAAGCTGCGTCAAGTGACTGTAAATTTTCTGATGGTGAACAACGGCACTTACCTGATGAAGAAGTCGTATGCTAGAGAGTCCGATGAGAAGGCCCTCAAAGCTGTTTGCCAGTCCGAATGCAGTTGCGTCATGACGGGCGGTTGATCGAGTGCGTCGACGAGGTTGTTCTGTACGGTTGAGGTCCCACATGTAGAAGCGCCGCGCGTGTTTCAGCGCAATGACCTAGAAAGAATAAAGAGAGTATCACTGTATGCACGGTACAGCACCGTACACGACGGATGCCAATACGGCATCAGGTGATGCCGAAATGATTTGCCCGGATGTCACCGCAGTGATGTCTGATGGATGCACATACAATGCGATGCGATACAAGTCTGCAGATCGATTGTACCACCGGGAGGAGGCAAATGAGGTCCCGCTCGCCCACCTCATTCGTTTGTGTCACAGTACATTTGATATGAATACAATAGCAGACAAGGATAGGAACGCAGTTGCCCCTGGAAAGGGCTGACAGGCTGTCGTTCTTCCTGTTCTCACACAGAGCTAGGAATGAGCGTGGCAACGGCGTGCGTTGGGGTTGACGAGTATTTAAGGGAGGAAGAGGAACTTGCCATGTGCAGGAGATCGTGGACAACCTTTTTGCCATCCTCACTTTCCTTTCCGTCTTTACACTTCGCCATGATGGCCCCTGTCTGCTGGCATGCAGCGGCTGTCTTCTTTTCCGTCGTTCTCTCCCTTTTCATTGTGGAAGTGGCATCTCTACCTGCTGGCAGCCCAGACTCATCATGGTCTGCAGGATCGAACTTTGTCCCGATGGACGAGGACGATTCCATCACCTCGGCTCATTCGCGCAATGGACCTTCCTGGCACCACGCTCCTTCCGGACAGCACGAGGGTTTGCCGCAGCCTTGGCACCACGATCCGACGGATCTGCATCAGCCCGCTTGGGGTGTCAGCGGCTCAGCACCAGTTCTGCCACATCAGCACGATCCAGCTTGGGTGCCTGCACCAACCGGACCACTGGACGACCTCGACCATATGATTCTCGACCATTTGCTGAATGACGTGTCTGCTGCTGCGCCCCCTTCTGGTCAAGGCAATACAGCGCGCCTTCTCAATCACCTGGCTCAGGCTAAGCCAGGCGACATCCTCCGACAGTCCGGTCACAGGGAATTTCCACAGGGGCTGCGGTTCGGGAAGCCAACTGCAAATCCTTCGTCTGAACCTCGTCCGGATTCACCCGGACAAGCTTCGAGCTCCGGAAGCCCACGCTCACCGCAGACCGAATCAGATAGTTTCCGTCATGGTATGACGCATAACAGTCTGCCCGACAATCCTCTCTCGAATGCTGAAAGCTCAGGGGCTCCAGCGATCATACGTCCTCTGAGCCCCGACCCGCCGCACAGAGGACGATATCCGATTTCGGTGGAGCCACCGATCAATCTCCAGAAGATCGTAGAAACGCCTCCGTCTCTGCCGCCACTGTCTGTAGCAGAGCCCGGCGCTTCAACCTACAGGAGGTATGCTTACCCGTACGCCGCCTCCGACACAAACTTGCGCAGTGTGATCAACAATCGCGTCTTTGATGGAAAGCTGCATTGGGTGAATCCGATGGAAGTTCGGTCGACTCTGCGGAAGACGCATTTCCGAGGTGCCATTAAAGCGAACCGTGTGCTTCCATACGTCGTCGACCCGAGCACGTCTCCAGCCCACGGTGGGAGCGGCGAAATCCGTTTGGCGATCCACAAAGTCCACGTGTTTCCCAAGGGTCAGACTCATCCAATCCCCACCAGAACATACTACACTATGTGGAGCTACCCTCCGAGGTCGAACTGGAAGCAGCCAGAGATCAGACAGATCGGGCTTGGATATCTGGAGCCCAAAGACGTCGACCACGTCGATGGACATCTCGACTTGATGGAAAAGTCCAACGAGTATCGCGATGCAGTCTTGAGCAGAATCCATGTCTAGATCGTCCATTGTTCCAAGTCTCCATGCCACCGTGCTGCCAGTACGATGCGCTCCTCATTCTTTTCCACTCTTTGAATAAAGTGCATCCTTTGCCATTGCTCGTCCCCTTAGATCAAATCTGTTCTTACAAGCAGTACCAGGGGCCCGAATGATTGAGGAGCGAGAATGGTCCCGGGAGATATCATTCAGCGCCTTTTGTGTGCACGACGCTGAATTCTTTGAACCCGGCATCGTCTTGCCTCTGTATCTTACCCCTTTCTAAGTCGCGGCCTGCTTCATTCCAGTACACTTCCCGATACGATACGATATCATAAGTTGGCGTCGTTTCTTCCTCTCTACGTGGCCCATGGTGAATTGATTCATGTACCTGCTTTGCAGACAAAAACGTCTCTTCTTCTTCCTCTTTACTCATGCTCATGCTTGTCATTGCAGACACATCCTCGTTGCTGAACAGATCCATTGTGTACAGAGTGGGCGTGAAGTGAATGAGGGTACCCCCCTCATTTCGAGAGCATGGCTGCGTCAATTGGTCGCTTCACGCCCACAAAATCATGCCTGCATTCGTGCGGTATGAAGCTGTACTGCAGAACAAAAGTGCGAGAACGAACTCTTGGGCAGCCTACGATGAAAGTCATGCCTCTGAATCTGCACGTCAGTACCGACAATACCAAGGCCGTACGGCAGAGATGCAGCTTCTTCTTCATCGTCACCATGAGAACAAAGAGCAAATGCATGTGACCGAGGTTTCTAGAGGGTGAGCAGATGCATGTACTCGTAGCCCCTAGGGGCCGGAGAAAGAACGTCCGCTCACTGCTTGCACCAGCACAGTCAAAGAAAAGACTGAACGAATCTCGGAGAAGTGACCAAAGCACGCAATGCAGCACAGCTTCCAAATGACGTCGAGAGCATATAAACAGCGCCCTTCTGGCTTCACAACACCGTCCAACATAGTTTCTCCTACGTATCGAGTGCTGCGGCGGTGGAGCAACCATGCTGCTTTCCTTCCTTGCCAAGTGCCATTTCGGCGTTCTGCTGACAGTTCTATTCGGTACCGCTGTATCGCAGCCAGTCGGCAGCTACGAATGGACGGTCGGCCAAGTTCCAACTCACGGTCAAGAGGAGTCCACCCTGTTCGGGGCGGAACATGGCTGGCACTCCGTTCACCCCGAAGCAGCCTTCCCAAACAGTCCTGGAGCGTGGAGCAGTGGCTCGGTAGCACCTGCTGCAATCAACTCTCGATGGGACGGAGCCCAAGCCGTAGGCTCTTCCCAAGCCCCGGCTGTGGGGAGCCACGCGCCTGCACCTGCGCCGTTTCACCCACACGTCTTGGAATCGCAAGGTGCTCAGCTACACAACGGCTTTGCCTCAAGCTCCGCAGCTCACCCAATCGATTGGTTCGCAGACAATGCTCACCACGCCTTCGGAGTCCGACTCACCAGGATGCTTGCGGCGAGGGAAGCGTTCGGCGGCGACAGACGACAGTGGGAGACGTGGTCAGAGCACATGCGAAGAGCGATGGGAAGTCGGGAACTGCAGATCAGTCCGGTGAATGTGGGAGACTACGGGTATGACCGTGTCTTCATAGCTCAAGATGGGCATGCTGTATCTGGCTTTTATCCTCCGCTGACGCAGGCACTCCCGCGTTCGCCCTCAGCTCGGCATCTTCTGGGAGATATTGTTCCTGGCAAGCTGGAGGGCGAGAGAGAGGTGGTCGGCTCTCGCGACCGCGTATACGTCTACCTCAACAGCCGAGTCAACATGGACTACATCAACAGGGAATACTTCCTAGGCCATGCCCAGTTCCTTCCGATCCAGCCGGAAAAGCTGAGCAGAAAGGTCATCAACAAGGTCTATGCGGTGCGTCGGAACACCGTCGTGCTGCCGCCGCGAACTCCTCATGGGCTGCCCCTGCTGGTTATTCGTCACACCGGCGTTAGAGGAGTGTCCGAGGGGCTCGAGGCGATCACTGGCGTCGGTGGAGACATGCAGCGGATGTCGCTTTGGTCTCCTGTCCTGTACGACGGTAAGCGATACACGACAGTGCTGTACGGAGTGGTCGTGATGGATCCCAGGCACAACGAAGAGGTGCTTGCTCATCTATTGAGGCAGAACGCACTCAGGGATAGCAGTACCTACGCCACCCTCTATGCTCTTGCCGATGTGGCACACGAGTTTCACTGATCCGCCTCTCAATGTGTCGCACCATCGTCGCTGTGCGGCAAAGTCCCACAGCTTTGACTTCAAACCCTGATCCGTTTCATATATCTTTCAGAGATGTCGCTCAATGTCTTCAATTTAATCCATTCTTGTCAGTCGAGTTTGCACGTCTAGGTTGCCTTTTTGCGAGTCTTTGTGCTTTCAGAGGCCCGAAAAGGGCGGAGGTGTGCGCTTCATGCCCTTCCTTGGCTTTTGGCAATCTTATAAGTGCGGAAGACTGCTGCGCAGCAAAGGTTTCCAGGTGGACCGTTGAGGTTATGAATGCGGATGCGTGCAAGCCCGTTCCAGTATGAGCTGGCGGAATTACGTCAAGGCTGACCGAGTCTCCGCCGATATGATACGACGCTGCAGAGACGAGCGTCGAGAGCATCGATGAAGTCTCCGCGTCAGGAACGGCGAGATGAGATGCTATCGCATTGGTTTCTTTTCAAGTCGTCACACGAAGCCAATGAAAAAAGGGCTTCGCGAGGCCAGATGAGTTCAGATATAAATACGGCTGAGCTTTGTCTGCCTTCGTCCTCAACTCGCTCGATCTTCATTCGGCTCTGACACCGAACTGCGCTCATCCGCCATGTTTGCAGGTCACTGGACTCGTCCTGTCGCAGTAGGCTGCTGCCTCGTCGCCATAGTTGGTTTTGCTTCAACTCAGCCCGTCGGCAACGACTATGAGCGGATCGCTGGAAAAGGCGCCCTGGCAAGCGATGAGGGAGCGAGCTCTTCACGAGTCGGGATGCCAGTGGATCTCGATCTGCATCTGTATAACCCCAATTCTTTCCAGCAGCATCCACCAGCCAGGACGTACTCTTTTTCCCCATTCCATCCAGGCTCTGCGCCCATGCTCGGTGCTCAACCTGGCGTCGGAGCAGGTGAAAGCGCCGTGTGGACACCATCGCATCAAGTGCCGCAGCACGTTGGACAGGAACCTCAAGGCAGCGGCGTGCACCCCGGTCCGTCGCTGCCTGTGTTGAGCCCTCCCACGGAAGCGGCTGACGCAGCCGCTGTAGGGCAGCCGTGGTGGGAAGACGCACTGCCGAAGTACGCCACGCACAGCCAAGTCTATGAACGGTGGACTCAGGCGTTGCGGACGATTCTTGGCAACCCTTATTTGCAATTCACCAGCGTTGGCGACGAAGAGGGATCCCGTTCTCGGGTGGTTGTGGCTCGTGATCGGCTGCTCCGTGCCGATCGGCTTGTGCCACCTGCAGCTGGGGAGAGGATGTTGTGGGGCTCGCTCAAGGCTGAGAAAAGCGACAAGAAAGCAGGCTTGAAGCATTTCTTGTACCGGCTGCATAATGCCCAAGCGGTCAAGATGGGCGAGATGACCTCGCGAGCTACCACGGGACGCACGTACGTGTATCTGGACAGCCGATTCAACATGGACTGGTACAACCACATGTACTTTGGCAATCGCTTGCGCTTTATTCCGATCCGTGCCGAGGGAATGTCGTGGAGAACGATGAACAACCTGTTCATGCGGCGCAGGTTCGTGCTTGCGTTGCCGTCGCTGTCACCGAACGGGCTGCCACTACTGGTGGGGCGCCACACGTTTCAAAACGGCATGCACGAGGTACAGGACTTCTTCCCGGACGGGCTGGAGGACCCGCGACAGATCGTTTCGCTGTGGTCTCCTGCGCTGCACGGCATGGATAGGACGACGATGGTGCTGTACGGCATCGGTCAGCTCGACATGCGCGATGATCCGCAAGGTGGGGGCACGGTCAAGCGCCTCGAGGCCATTGCTCAGACCGCTCAAGGCACCAACCTGAAGACAAACTACGATATCTTGACCGAACTGCCCCACATACTGGCTTAGGCGGATACGTTCACGCGACGGGTCGATCTTTCGATGCGCTCTGAATCGCTCTCTGCATACGCACAACGGTCCACGCTACCTCAGCGAGGCGAGATGTGCAGAGGGTGATGTCCAAAATCCATGCGATTAGCAAGAAATACAATGTCCGTGGTGAAGATTACAGAGCTGCAGCGAAGGCGAGCGATGCGAGGACGGCAGCTGCAGAAGCCGCGAGGGAAGCACGTGCGCCGAGCGAGGCAGACGAGGTGGCGCTCTGGTGACTTGCTGCTGCCGACTGGGGCGAGTTGGCGGCATTGGCAGAGTCGCCGCCCTGGGTGAAGAGGCGGAGCGACTCGACCTCCCAATAGGACTGGTTGAAGCTGGAGCCGTTGTATCCGACCTGGTAGCTGCAGGCGGGGTACTGCTTGTTGCATCCGCTCTCGTTGTACGTGTTGCCCGCCCAGTCGCCGCACAGGGTGATGTCAAAGATGATCTTGTGCGGGCCAAAGTCGTTGAAGCACGATGCGATGGGGAAGTTGGCGTTGGGCTTGGGCCATGCGTCTGGGTTGACCGTGGAGCTGCCGGATTCGAGGTCGGCGGGAAGCGAGTTGGGGGCGTTGTTGGGGAAGAACCACATACGGATGCCGTTGCCCGTGGTGCCAAAGGAGCGCTCCATTGCAATCACGCCACCGCCGGCACGGTTGAGCGCCTTGCCCCAGGTTGGGGTGGAGGTGCCGTCCATCTGAACATGGCATCCTGGATTCGAGGGGACGTAGGCGGAGCAGTTGGTGTACTTGACGCTGCCGGTCTCGTCGGAGATGTTGTTGGGGATGGTGCAAGACGACTGGGTGTGGATGGAGGCAAGGTTGTCGGGATACTGGTCGTTTGCGTTCTCAAGGAGATCGATTTCGCCTCCGATGGGCCAGGACTTGATGTTCTCCGTGACCGTCCAGAAAGCAGGCCATGTTGCACAGCCGGTGGGGACGTGGGTGACGTTGAGCACATAAACACCATCCGAGTAGCTGTTCTTGGATGTGATGCGCACGCTGTTCCTGCCCTCGAGCGCGACGGGCACAGTGGAGACAGCCATGACAAAGTGGCCATCGCCATCGACAAACGAGAGGTTCTGCGCCTTGGCATTCGACTGCGACTGGAAGTTGACGAGCCCGTTGGTGGGGTCCTTGTCGGTAAACCACTCAAAGTCGTTGAAGAAGTCGTTGCCGCGCACGGTGGCGGTCTGGGTCCAGTTGGCGGATGCGGCGGAGGCGAAGCTCGACATGGCGCCCATGGCGACCGCGGCCGCGGCGACTTTGCGCGAGGAAGAGCTCAGCATTGCGGTGGAATGGAACGGGAAGCAGAGTCACACACTTCAGCCAGACGGCAAGGTTATATAGTTCGGCATTTGAGTGGAGCGGCGAGGGCGTCGGCGGACAAAGCTTCGCGCCGCCACGATGCAGTGTGAGCTGATCTCGGCGGCGGGGACAAGCGAGCCAAGTTTGAGGTTCAGGTTCGCAAAGTCCAGCATGCACCATGCACGTCGGAGAGACAGACACTGCATCTTGCGGACCTTTTTTTCGTGGTGAGAGGGCTCCAAGCGCGTTGCCGTGGCGGGCCCTCGGCTGCACAGCTTAGTGCGCTCGGCGACTGCCCGGCATGACCGGCAGCCAGAGAAGGCTTTGGTCCAGTTCCTATCGAAACGGCTCGAAGCTGCTGTTTCCCAATCGATCAAGGAGGGCTTGCTCGACACGCCCTTGTCACAATTCGAAAGCGCATCACATTTTGTTCCGAGGCGGCCCTGGCTGAGGCGTTATCACATCAGCTCCCGTACTCTGTGACGATGCAGGCACGGGAAGCGGCCCATGCAAGCTGTGCAAATTGTCGCGCAACCGCGTGCTGAAAGAAAAGAGTGGCACATGTGTGTGTGTGTCTCGGATGGGCATCGTGGCGGCATGGACGGGATCTTTGTGCCGCGCCGAAACGATCCGCTGTGATCTTCGTCTCGGAGAATTTGTTGAAAATTCAACGCTGCTGCCGGTGGCATGCCGAGCGAACATGCGCCAGTTGCCGATGGCACAACAATCGGCACCGCCCTCGACCGAATCGGCTTGCAATGCAAATCGGGCCGGCGACTTTCGGCCAGAAGGAAGCTTTGAGTCAGGACCACGGCAACGGGGCGGCTTCTTCTTTTGCGGGCCACCGTCAACCCTCTGCACACTCAGATACATTTTCGCCATGGTGTACAGCGAGACCAAGTTGGAGCCGCCAACGCGACTGCGCGTGTTCATCGTGCGGCACGGAGAGACGCGCGAGAACGTGGAGCGCATCATCCAGGGCCAGCTGGACACGGACCTCAACGAGCGCGGGCGCACCCAGGCCGACACCACCGGCCGCTTTCTCGCCACCACGCGCATCGACCGCATCATCGCATCGCCGCTCAAGCGCGCTGCGGACACGGCGCGCGCCATCCTCAAGCACCAATCGTCGGGATCGCTGCAGCTCGAGTTTGACGACCGCCTCAAGGAGCGTGCGTTTGGTGTGCTCGAGGGCAAGGTGTACAACGGCGGCGCCAAGAAGCCCGAGGATACCGAGGGCATCGAGCGCATGGAGCCGTTCTCGGAGCGCCTGGCGAGCTTCTGGAACGACCTCGTGACGCGGGCGGCTGTGCCGGACTCGGAAACAGCGGAACGCACAGAGACGGTGGTGCTGGTATCGCACGGTGCCGCGATCAGTGCGCTGATGAACCAGGTGCTCACTCCCGGTCGATACTGCCTCGTACCGCCATCAGTCGTTCCGTCGCGCTTCTGGAACTGTTCGATCACTGAACTTGCTGTTCCCGTGATCCGCACCTCGCCTGCATCGATCGCATCCACCTCGGCAGGCAGTGCGTCTCGGCGCGCAGACTGGTCCATCCGTCCGATCCATCTCGGCGTGCAGGGTGCGCAGTTCATCTTGGACCACGAGGTGCAGAAGAAGCTGCTTGGCACGATGCGCGAGCGTGCGCTGCAGGACCGCGCTGCCCAAGATACGCTGCGCGAGCTCGAGGCGCACGTCGCCAAGACCGCCGCCGAGTTCGAACGCGATCCGCAGGGCAAGCTCCAGCTAGCGGCCGATGTCATCCGTGCGCCCGACGGCACCGCTGTGCAGGCGGACATCGGCCACGGCCCCGCCATCGGCACCGTTGTGCAGTGGTCCAACATCGACCATCTCAAACACCTCGACGAGCCTGCTGCCAATGCAGAGAAAACCTCCAAGCCGAACAATATCAACGTAGACGAACTCGTCAAGTAGAGAGCCTTCACGCCAGTATACCCTTTCCTCTCTCCCGGCATCGATTCGAGGATGTAGAACATAGAAGTGCCCCGATCGGTGGTAGAAGTCATGATTTGCATTGTCCTTGTGAATTACAATCGTTACTTTCGGAGCCCCAGACTGGGCGGGGGTTGGGGAGTCTAGATGCGCGAGTAGCCGAGGAAGAAGCGGCGGCGGAGGTTGACGTCGAGGAAGTTGTCTGCCTGCTGTTGTGCGACTGGTGTCTTGAAAGCGAGGATGCCTACGACGATGCCTGCGCCGAAGAAGGCGATGGAGATGAGCAGCCAGATGACGCCCCAGAACTGCGGCGGGCCTCCGACGACCTTGCTGAATGCCGAGGCGTCGGACTCGTTGACCTTGCGGAAGATGAGGTCGTCGCAGATATCCCACACCGAGTAGAGGCAGTTCATGACGCCGATAAAGAGCACAAAGTACCGCAACGCCACACTGCTGGCTACGAGCCAGAAAAGCACGAATAGGCCGATCATGGCGAGGATGAGGACCCAGGTGAGCCAGTCGCGCCGCGCCCACCACAGCGTAAAGAGGAAGAAGACGCCGACGACGATGCTCGCCACCTTGGATGCGCGCTCGTCGAACCCACACGCGATCAGCGCTGCACCAATCACGCTCGATCCGAGGTAGCCGGCGGGGAGGGTGAGCCAGGGGATGCCGCCGCGCATGCGCGTCGCACCGCCCTCGTTGGGCTCGAGCGTGATGGACTCGATCCTGGCACCGGTGCAGAGCCCGACGGCAGCATGTGAGAACTCGTGGAAGCCGACGGTGAGCAGCTTGAACGGGTAGAGGATGTAGTTGAGGATGGGGATGTTCCACAGGATGATGATCGCCACGGCGTAGACGCACGCGACGATGATGGTGGTGCGCTGGTCCTTGGTCGGGTCGATCCTGGACTGACCCGACGACGACGACGAAGACGCTGCCGCCTGCCGCAGAAGGAGCAGAGGCATGGTATTGATGGTGGTGGGAAGCCAAGACGCAGTGAATGAAGCCTGTAGCCAAGAAGGAGGGGCGTGGCTGGAATGCCGCCGCATCAGCGTGTGGAGAGAAGCGCACAGCCTTGCCGCCAAGCGCGTGGTGCTGTGCGGCTATGCCGAGCTGGGCCAGCGCCCCTTTTTTTCGAAAAAAGTGTTGCGGACTTGCCTCGCCCCGCCCCTGTGTTGGTTTCGGCGTGTTGCTCTCTTGCCGCGGCCAGCAACTCTAAAATTCGGGCGAAATCCAAGTCAGGTCCCGCGCCCGCGCCAAGCCTGACGCTGGAGTAAACTCTCGATCCTCCCTGGAAGAGTCTAACATTCTTAACATTCTAAGTGCGCGCGTAGTTGCATCGGGAGGCAGCCTGGTGCGGATCGAGGGGGCGGGGGCGAATATGCATGCAGGTGGTGCAGCTGTCAAAGCTCACCCGCCGCTCACCACTCGCTGTGGCAGCCTCGACTCCCGCGATAAGAAGCACACGGACACCATGCCGTAGCAGCCTGCCCTCGATGCATCACTAGGCACCACCATCACAACTACAGACTGCGTCGGTCGAGACGCCTTGCCCGCCATGGCGGCAGTTCGCCCTGTGCGCCACCTGGCTTCCATGCCGCCCGAGATCCTGCACCTCATCGCGGCTGCGTACGTTGACGACCTGCACGCGGCGGGTACGAGCAACATCACGTCGGTGCTAAGCTCGTGTTCGCTGCTGCACGACCTTGTGCTGCCGAAGCTGTATGCATCGGTGCACATCTACTCGCTCGAGCAGCTGGTGCGCTTTGTTGCGCCTGCGTCGGGCGCGCACAAGTACTGCGCCGACTACACCCGCGATGCGCTGGTCGTCAACATCCCCGGTGTCCCCGGTGGTGGAGACGGTACCCTGTACGGACCCGATGCAAAGACGCACTCGCGCGACCGCCTCACCCTCGTATCGCGCGCACTCGCGCTGTGCCCACAGGTACAAAAGGTGTCGTTGGAGTTCTTCAGCATTCGACACAGCGAGATCCTCACCGAGGCCGACTTTCGCACCGCCGAAGCCGAAGCATTTGCAAGCGCGGTCGGCGGGCTGAGCAGGGTGACGACGCTGCGGTGGGTGCCACCTCGCAGCGACGCCAATGCCATCATGGGCCTCAGCATCGTCATTGTCGACCAGATCATCCCTGCTCTCGCAAAGGGCCTGGCAGGATGCACCAGCCTCGAGACGCTCGAGCTGTGGAACACCATGCTCCCTGCCACCGGCGGCGCTGACCTAGCCGAAGCGCTCATCTCCATCGCCAACACTCGAGCCCAGCAGAAAGACAACATAGCTCCGCTCAAGTTCAACCTTCGCTCAGTGACCGGGCTGGACCCCAGGAGTGTCTCGGACCTGGCGCTGGCTATGCCACCCGTGCAGGTCAATATCGCCGACGGATTCGTGGGCTCCATCTGGGGAGCCAGGATCGACACGATCGCTGTGCACGAGTGCATGCGCGAGACCCTAGACCCGGCTGGGAGAACGCGCAGTACCGGATCGTCACCCAGCACCTCGGATACATCCAGCGTCTCCACCGGCCGCGTCACCACACCCGAGCTGCTCATCCAGGACAGCATCGCCAAGGCGTCACAGAACGTCTCGATCCGCATCCTTCAGGGCGGCATCGCGGGCGCGCGCATGTTTGCCCACTAGGTCTTTTGATTTTGCGCTTGCAAGCGTAACATTACGCATTGCGCTTTCCCATTCCTTTGGTCTTTGCAGTGTCGTCGGTGTTTTTGCCCACCAGGCCGGCGAGGTCGAGAGCGTCGCGCGCGGCGCGGTTGATGAGTTTGAAGCGGTCCGGGCCCAGATGTACGCCGCCGTACCAGCGCGTGACGACGACCAGCACGTTTTCGAGCTCGAGGATGCTGAGCAGATGTGCGAGGCGACCGCCCGCCGCCGTCTCGCCGTCGTCGTCGCAGTCGCGATGCACCACCCCGTCCGCGCCACGGCACACCCACGCATTGATGATCGGATGCGTCGCGCGCGCCACACGCTTGTCCGATACGATGCGCGACAGCACAGACGCCACCTGGTCGGGCGAAGTGATGCACGCCGCATGCCCGATGAACTCGGACTTGCGCTCGATGATCGACTCGGTCCGGAAGATGTGGCCTTCAAAAGGCGCCGGTTGACCCTGCCCTGGTGCGTCTGCAAACGTTGTGACTTGCGGATCGGATGCGGTCGTGGTTGGAAGCCGTGAAGATGGAGAAGGGGCCGACTTTATCCGCTCGGTCTCTTTGTCGCTCCACCAGTCCGACACTTTCTCCTTGACCCACTCGATGCCTTCGAAGAGCACCACCTGTCCCGAAGCCCAGTCCACGCCGCGGTCCATACTACCTCCGATCCAATTTGCGCTTGCGGCCTCTTCCGCATCCACCGGCTCGGTGCTCTCGCCCGTCTGGTGGTAGAAGGCACGCAGGATCTCGCCAAACAGCCGCGCGTCCACACTGAAGCCACCCACGTAGCGCGACAGCAGCTGCAGCTGCGGCGGCCGCGCACTGTGCGGATAGAAGGGCGGCAGCGTCACCGCCAGCCGTATTGGTATCGGCTCGCCATCGGTGGTCTGCGCCTCGACATCGGCGGATATGGAGAGCGTGAGCTTGGCTCCAGGAAGCCAGGTGTTGGGATCGGCGGCGTCCTCGTGCCCGTCCGCGTCGTCGGCGTTCGGGCGGGCCTCGGCGCCGAGAGGGCTGATCTTGAGCACGAATATCGCATCGTCCGTGTAGATGCTCTGGAGAGCCACGAGTTCTTCGGCGAGCTGCGTTGCGGCTTCGATGCGCTGCGCTTCGTCCGCGAGCCAGACCGCATGGCGTGTCGTGGAGCCCGGCACGCTCAGCGAGCTAGGATCTGCAGCGTATGCTTCGATGCGCGCTATGAGCGCAGAGAGGGCTGACCCACTTGCACCGTCGTCCATGATGTCGTCGCCATCCAGGTGTCGAGGTGAAGAGTGTTGGTGGGATGCGAGGAAGGCCGAGTTACTGTCGCTGCCGGCGAAAAATTAGGCTTCACCCTCCACTCCAAAAAATCGCCGAGAAATGTCAGACCGCCCAACTGAGCCGCGTCACTCCAACTCCACGCCCGGCTGGTCCGAGCGCGCCGGGGCTCAGGGTCCACTGCCTCAGTCAGCGTCGCCGTGTGGCGCAGCAGATCCAACAACACGGCCAGTCTGAACCTGTCTGCCCTTTGCTTATCGCCACCACCACCAACCCGACCTCCTCTGTGCGTCTGTTCACCATCTTCGCTCCACGCACCTTTACACTGCAGCGCATCGCCCGCTTCTCCACCTTCGTACGCACCGCAAAAATGGCGGAGCACAAGCCCTACATGGTGTAAGTCCCCGCACCGGACGCCGAGATGACCGCTTGAGACTGACTCCCGATTCGTCGTTGTGGTGTTGCACAGTATCTTCAAGGACGGCACGCCGCAGAGTGCGATCGACGAGCACAAGTCCAAGGTGCAGCAGGCGGGCGGCACCGTCAAGCAGACGTTTGACTCGAGCATCATGCGCGGCTTCGCTGCCACGCTGCCCGACAGCTTTGCGCAGGAACTCACCACGGCCAGCGTCGGCGGCAAGCACGAGCACATGTGAGTCCGGCCCTAATCTTGAGTGACTCGGTGGTTCCGAACACTGACCCTGTTTGTCGGGATGGTGCAGCGAGTACGTCGAGCCCGACAGCGAGGTCAAGACGCTCTAAGCGTCTCTGCTCGATCTATGGTCAGCTCACGGTACAGCGCCTGCAATGGACAGTGCCCTAGCAATGCAACGAGACAATCTGGAATGCGGACACTAGCGGCGCGTGATGAGCGTGAATACGTTGCACTCGCAGTCACGGCATTCACCCTCGACTTGGATGAGGTTGACCGTGCCGAGTTGGTGCAGCAACAAGCAGTCAGCGTGCGCGTTGCGTAGGGGGGACCAGGCCGAGCTGCTAAGAGGAGATGGCAAAGCAAGTCGATTGATGTACAAGTACAGATTGAACGTGGGGTCCGGCTACTCGTCGTCCCAAAAATCGTCGTCTTCCTCCTTCCTCGCGCCGACCACGCCCCTTCCGACCGTATCCGAGACGGCGTTATCGTTTCCGAAACCGAAAATCGGCTTTCTGTTTTCTCTGGGGTCGATGATGCCGCTCTGGCCGAGTCGCCACTCGAGCGCGCCGGTGGAAAACTTGTCCGAGTTACCGAGCTCCTCGAAGCCGATGATCTTGTCCTTGCTCACGCCGTCCTTGAATGTGATGAGGCACGGCAGGACGGAGACGTTGAGCTTCTGTGTGAGGAAGGGGCAGTTGAGCACGTTGGCCTTGAGGAAGAGCGTGCCCGGGTGCAGACGCGCGAGCACGGTGAGGTGGCGGTCCAGCAGCGCACATCGCTGGAACTTGGGGTGGAAGAAGTGGATGGCCACCTGACGCTCGGTGGACGAGAAGCCGATCAGGTCCTTTTCGTGCGTGATCTCGGTAAGCAGGCCCTTCATGGACGCCGTCGACGCGTGTTGCATCACAGCATGCTCGCCACCACTCGCCGACTTGGCCGCAGCGATCCTATCCCAGCCGGAGAGAACAGCGTCAGCTTCAATACAAGTACTCCAAAGGGATGGAGAAGAGTGGAGGAACTCACTCTTGTCGCAGCTCTTCCATGCGTCGTTCCCTGAACTCGGCCATGTCGAAGCCGGCTACGGTGTCGGTATCGTCGCCGCCGCGCGGGTGGAAGTTCGACTCGTCCTCCATGCTGTCCAGCTCGCGGTCGAGCTCAGCGAACAGCTTCTCATCGTCGTCGTCATCATCTTCCTCGTCTCCGGAGCCGTCGGAGGATGCGTGGCGGTATGCGGAAGACGATTCAATGAATGTCGACGACGGTTCGTACGAAGAAGACGAGGAGGATTGCGCGGGAGCTGACGCCGCGGCGGACGTCGACGCTTCTGTTGTCATCTTTGGCAGTCCCGCTGCTGTGGAGGTGAATCTGCGCGATGTCGGTCGATCTGGGCGATGGTGCAGGTCGAGAGGGCAAGAAGGTCTTTGCTGCAACAGTGGTGGGCGGACGAGGAGAAATTTGGCTTCGAGGTGCACCTTTCTTCCACGCCATGCCCTGCGCGACGCAAAGAGAGCTGCAACGCGCGCGTGCACCGACAACCAACACTTTACGTCCCGCTCTAACATTTTTGCTCAAAAATCGGCCCATCGGGATAGCGGGACCAGATTTGGCAGTTCCGATGCGGCCACTCCACACGACCCTTTGCAAAGCTCATGCAGCTGAGTCGGAAGGAAGGGCCCTTTGTTCCACCTTCCCTCTTGTAGCTCGCCGCCATCCATGTCGCCCTTTGCTTCGCGCATACCATCATGAAGCCTTCAATACGGTCCTGGGCCGCGAGATCGTGCAAGCTTTCTGGGACGACACCTCTCACCGCCGCAAGTGCCGCTCGAGCAGCGGCGTCCACATCGCAGCGCATGCAGCTCCGCCGCGCGTCTACACGGCGTCACGCTGACCAAGGAGCGGCTTGCTCATCGACACTGCGCTTTGATGTCAACCGATTCCCAGCACCAACACACCCCACAGCGTTTCGCGGCATGTCCACTGTCGCTAGCGCCGAGGTTATGACCCGGCACCTCGCGACGGCGGCGGGTGGCCGATCGTCGGGGCTCTTTCGATCGTTCTGCACATCGCAGCCGAGCGTACCTCTGCAAGCAGCGCCGGCAGGACTGGGCATCGCAGCGTGGGTGTGGTCTCGCATGCCACGGTTGCGGTCGGAAAGCAGTCCATCACGCTCGTCGCTGCGATCCCGCAACCAGCCCTCGCCGCTCTTCCGTCGCCCCTCGCCCAACTCAGGCGGCAGCGGTGGCTCTGGCGGCGACCCGCGTCGAAGACCGGGTCCATCGTGGCTGGCGTCGTTCACCGCGCGCATTGACGAGCGCTTCTGGAGCCGCTTCGATGCACGCGCGGTGATCTTGGCGGTGATTGGCGTCAACACGCTGGTGTTCGTCGGCTGGGCGTGGGCGCGCGAAAACATGCAGCGCTTCGCCGACCCGCGCGCGATGATCACCATGTCCAAGAACTTTCTCGGGGGCGAGATCAACATGCGCGAAGGGCGGTGGTGGACGCTGCTGACCAGCTGCTTCTCGCACGAAGCGCCGATGCACTTGCTCTTCAACATGGTGACGCTGGGATTCATGTCGCCCCCCGTAGTCGCCCTGACGGGTCCGACAATGTTCCTCGTGCTGTACTGCGGTGGCGGTATCATCAGCAGTGTTGTTTCCATGGTGGGCAAACGCGTTTTCGAGACGGAAGAACAGCGGAGGAGGAGACCGTTTAGTCACGGGGCGAGTGGATCCGTGTATGCGATCATGAGCACGTTTGCGTGCGTCCAGCCGCGCGCCCAGTTTTTGCTCTTCTTCGTGCTACCCCTGCCGGCGTGGGCGTGCGTGTCGGGCATTTTTGCGTGGGACGTGGCCCAGGCGGTGCTCAACCCCGGTCAACGCACCGATTCGGCAGGCCACATCGGCGGCGTCATGGCAGGCATCTTGTTCTGGCGCTTCGGTCTCAAAGGCATCCAAATGCACTAGACACGCCAAGCACGAACGACCAATTCCAACTGCAGCACACGGCTTCTCAGCGTGCCTTTGCAATGTCTTTGAGGATTGTGTGAGGACAGGCGATGGTATGCAGCTGAAACTGCCTACCCAAAGTACAGATCCACCAACATGGTCGCCACACCCAATACGATCCTACACCCGCCACAAGCAAAGGAGACAAGAAGAATTGTCAGCAATGCGCGCGTCCATCAGGATCGGTACTTGCAGCTACTTACTCGAGCATGATGAGCAGGATGACGACGATCTCGAGATACTCGGAATGGCTGGAGGTCACCTGGTCCTTCAAGAGCTGCAGCATGTCCTGGAGCACCTCGACGCGGGTATTGAGCAGATCGATGCGCTGTGGGATCTCCAGATAGCTCCTCGCGGCCGAATAGAGCGGTTCCAAATCGGGCTGCCTCCAAAAGATCTCGGGGCTATCGACGATGCTGCCGACGAGATGGATGTTCATGCGCAGGATGAACAGATGGCCGATCTGCTTCATGATTTCGGCGGGGGGCATGCCGATCTTGCCGCTCTCGGCGATGCTCTGCGGGATGTCCTTGGTGCTTTCGATCGTATTGTCGATGATGCCCTCGAAGAAGGAGATCTTGGTCGACTGCGCCAGCGCGTGCGACAGACTCAGCTTGGTCATGTACGACGAACCCCGACGCAGCGTGATCACGTCGTTGTAGATGCGCGAGTAGTCGGCAAGATACCAGTGCAGATCCTCGCTCTCGACGTCTTCCGAAGCCAGACGCTCCACTTCGAATCGGCGCAGCTCGCGCAGGAAGCGCTTCTCTTCCACCAGGGTCATGCCCCAGATGACGATGGTGCCGTAGTCCATGATGAACAGCTCCGGCACCACATCGTCTACGGCGAACCGGCTGCGTTTGCGCTTGGCAGCTGCTGCTGCTGCTGTCTCGTCCGCACCCTCGCCCTCGCGCTCGCGCTCGCCCGCACCAGCACTGCCATCGTGCTGCTGTGCATCCTGGCGCAGCTCGGGGATGCCCAGCAAATCCGCCGTCTTGGCAGACGCATCCTTGGACCGGCTCGAGTGATGTTTGCCGGATCCGTTGGCACTGGTCGGCGCCGGCACGAGCCCACGCGCCTCATCGACGTGCTTGTAGGTGTAGGTGGTGTAGAGGCACTCGTCGAACGTCATGACGTTGGTGTGGTGCGAGGAGCGTCTGGCGTTGAGCCACTTTGTGAGTTCGCGCATGCGGTACGATGTTGCGGTCGAGTAGGCGGTGACGCGCGGGAGTTTGGCACGCGATCGCTTTGTGAGGCGTCGTGCATCGCGACGCATCGAGCCCTCGGGGATCTGGGCCAGCTGCTTGTACACCTCGACCGCCTCTTCGTCCTCGCCCTCGGCGGCATCGTCCGAGGAGCTGTCGTCGTCATCCACCGAGTGGTGCGGCGAGTTGGCATTGGCAGCAGCAAGCGAGGCGGACGGCGCCGGTGGCTCAGAGTACGAAGGATTGCGACGGTATCCACCGGTGTTGGCACCACCCAGGCTGGCGGAGAGCGTCGAGGCAGCCCCGATGACGGGCGACGAGGCATTGAGCGGGGTGGCGCCGCCGCTGGGACCGCCCGTCGAGCTGTCCTCGGGCTCCTCGGGCAGGATCTTGAGTTTGGAGGATTGTTTTGTGGAGCGTTTGCTGCGATACATTCTGGGCGGATCGAGGCGGTTGGGCACGGCAAAACTAGGATGGTGGATGGAGGAGTTGGTCGGCAAGAGACGACGAGCTGGCCAATGCGACCTCAGGCGAAGCACGTTTCGCGCAAAAATCCATCCCACCAGCAGGCACAGGCAGCAAAGCTGAAGCGCCAAATGCGATTTTCTCGGCGCGTGCATGCATTATGCGCTTGGGTGGAGGGCACTTTGTCCCTCCTGGTTCGTGGTTCACTCGCTCTCCTTCACGCACTCGGCATCGCTCGGTCCTCTTGTCTATTCTACAGAATGCCAGATTGCTACAGGAATGGTCCTAAGGGCAGAAAGCTACGCCTGCTTCCAGTACGCACAGCCGATCTCAGCGACCTGGTCGACGAGCGTCCGGAGGTCGTCCATACGCGTGCGCGGGTGCACGACCAGGCGGATATAGTCGCCAATGTCGTTGGGCAGCGGTGCAAAGTCGACGGCAAACATGCGGCGGCGCTTGAGCTCCTGGTAGACAAACTGTGTACCCTTGGATCGGACGCGAACCTGCTCTGGTTCCAGCGCGTGCGCGGCATCGTCGGCGCTGTCCGGCTGCTTGGGGCGGAAGCAGATCTGGAGGAAGAGCGGGTCGGCGAGCGGGCCGAGCTCGAGCTCGGGCTTGGAGCGGATGTACTCGACGAGCTCGGTGGCGAGTTGGAGGCCGGCGTCGACGTGGTGGCCGAAGCCTTGCTTGCCGTAGCGCACCCAGTAGAGCCAGAACTTGAGTGCGTCGCCGCGTCGGCCGCAGCCCATGGTCTTCATCGCGGCATTTTCGCGGCGGTCCTTGGAGTGAAAGAGGTAGCCGGCATCGAGGCTGTTGGCCGAGAGCGTGTCGGCGTCGCGCACCAGCAGGAACGAGCACTGCAGCGGCACGTTGAGCAGCTTGTGCGGGTTGATCGTGATCGAGTCCGCCAGCTGGCTGCCCTTCATCAGGCCGGCGTATTCGGCGCGGTGGCTAAACACGATCGGTCCGCCCCAGGATGCATCGATGTGCAGCCAGCAGCCGTACTTGCGCGCCACCGCAGCGAGCTCGGGCAGCGGGTCGAACGAGCCCAGCACCGTGGTGCCCGAGGTGGCGTTGATCAGGAACGGAGTTCCGGTGCGCTGCTGCACAGCTTGCTCCAGCGCTTGCTCGAGTGCCTTGGGACACATACGCCCTGTTGTGTCGCAAGCCACCTTGACGACCGAATCGAGTCCGAGCCCGGCAGAGATGGCCGCCTTGTCCAGCGAGTAGTGGCATTGCGACGATGTAAACAGCAGAGGCCTCGGCGCTTTGCCCTTGTCGGCCAAGTACTGCACCACACCCAGCACGCCCTGCGTTCGGAAGGGCGGGAAGACGTTGGCGAGCGCCGTCTGTACCGCCAGCGTGTTGGCCGCCGAACCGCCGGGCATGGTGAGCCCATCAGGCTTCTTGTCCGTGAATCCAAACACCTCGCACAGGCCCTCGACGCAGCGCTCTTCGGCGAGACTGAGCACGGGCGATGCCGACATGACGTGCGCGTTGGCGTTGACTGCGCTCAGCACCAGATCCGCTGCGATTCCCACGGGCGTCGTAGCTGCATACAGCTTGTCCAGGAATCGCCCTGTCCACGGGTTGACCGAGTGGTCAAACACGAGCCGGATCGCGTCCATGAGTGCCGTCTCATCGGGCATCCCAGATGCATCGGTGTCGACGCTGTCGGGAAGGTCGAGGGTGACGGCCTTGCGAAAGTCCGGGATGCTGCCCCATGGCGCAACGTATGTTTCAGGTTTCTCGCCCGATGCGATGAAGTCCTGCACGAGCTGCAGCACCTGTGGCAACAGACGCGCGGCTTCACTCGATGCCGCTGCGGCCTGAAGCGGGCTGCGCGACGACGACGCCTTGGCATTGGCCATGCTAGCAGTGTCAGCGCCGTTGACGGAAGTGTGGCCTGCCATCGTTGGTATATGCAGAGGAGGAGAGGATGGTGGTCATGAGGAGGAACGAGAGCTTCGTGCGGGCTTTCAACGAGGTGCGGAACCGGTTTGGCTCAGCCGGCGCTGCGGAATCGCAATCCGCATTTCTTCTCGGCGCCATCGGGCCCAAAAAAAAAGGTCTCCGGGAAATTGCCCGCGTCAACGTTTTCTTCCTTCCGCCATGTCCGCACCTCCAACAGCTGTCATGGTCCTCCCATCACAAGACACGTCGTTCCACACAAGCATTCTATTACTCGTGACGATCATGGCTTGTGAACGAGCACACGCAGACGCACGTACATGACGCTCCACACTCCGCTCTCTGCATCGTAGCAGTCGGGTCTTAGCGCGTCCTCCACCTCTGCCACCACCGCCTGCTTGTCCTGCTCTGCGTCGATGGCGTGGAGGAACGGGCCGGCGAATGTCTCGAGCCATCCTCGCAGACTGCTCTGCTTGGGCAGCGGCGTGATGCGGGGCACGAGCTCGCACGACTCGACTTGGAACCCTGCGCTGAGGAGCAGCTGTCGGTACTCTTGCGGCGTCGGGAAGAACCACGGATCGTACCGGGTGGGATCGAGCCCACGCTGGCGCAGCGAGCGGTGAAGCTGACCACGCACCCCAACGCAGTTCATGTGGCCGCCCATCTCGGCTGCAAAGCGTCCGCCTGGACGCAGCACGCCGTACACGTTCTTCACAACAGCACTCGGCGAGCGCTTCATCCAGTGCAGCGCCGCATTGCTGAACACCTTGTCTACGGTCTTGTCGTACAGAGCGTCGTGGCCGTCCTTGACGACGAACTCTATGGGTGCTGCGGATGAGGTTGTGGAACGTGCGGCAAGAGATTGTGCCTCGGTGATCATGTCGGCACTCGCGTCGAGCCCAAGTACGCTCCCGTCCGGGCCGACCGCAGACGCCACCTCGATCGTTAGCTCTCCGCTTCCTGCAGCAGGTAGAGCGTGGTCAGAGATGAGCAATAGAAGCAGTGAGGAAGCGTGGGAAACATACCGCAGCCCAGGTCAATGACGTGGTCGCCCGGTCGTGGGTCGAGCAGCTTGACTACCGCGGCGGTGAAGGCATTCGAGTAGACAAACGAGGCATGGGTGCGATACACCTCTGCATTGTCCGAGCGGTGGTACTGCTGAGCAGCCATCTTTGCGTGGCGATGGATGGATGGATGATGCGAAGCAGAGGCAAGATGAGGTCCCACACGATCCTCCACAAGCTCCGAGTCACGGTGTGGGGGAGTCAGGGTCCAGCCGAAGCTTCAACTCAGAGTCGGCCGGGTGACCGTCCGCCTTCGGAAGGCGGAAAATTGCGTTTGGCGCAGGCTGGCGAGGGAGAAGAAGAAGAAAAAACGGTACAGAGCCAGATCTTCTTCGCTTGCCGTCTCTGCCTCCTACTACCACCAGCCTCGTCCACCTTTGGAACCGCCAAGCTGTACCGACCAATGCGACTTCCGCCTGTGCAATCGTCTGAACTCCCCCTCGCTTTCTTGCGCGTTCCTTTCCCTTCCCTTCCCCGCGTGCCAACGCACCCCGCTTAACACTCTGTTGACAGCCGAACCAATGTGGTTGCCATCAATTTTTAGTAGCGGGAAGACGGATGCACCTGTGCCGGCGTCGGCGTGCTCGACTGCTGCGCTCCTCGGAGAGCGGCGCAAGAGCGCGCTGGCGCACGGCAGGGATCCCGCACAGACACCTCGTCCACGCTCGCTCAACGTGCACGCGGTCACATTCGTCGGGTTACACCTTGCTCCCATGCCAATGCCAATCTTCATACCACCAGACCAACCCATCGCCAATGCAAGACAGACAAAAAGAGACGAGGAGATTGACAGTGTGAGTGTACGGCTACTCGGTGAACAACATGCTTTTGCCGGGCAGGAAGCCTCCTCCTGGACCGGTACCGTTGGTGCCAGATGGGCCTGCTGCGACGTCTCGCCTCTGCGCTGCAGCGCGGAGAGCGTGCTGGGTGAGCGCCTGCAGGCTCGGTGGCAGGGTTTCCTGCACGTCCTCGACCTCGACCGCTCCCCCGAGCTCCTTGGCCACGCGCACAGGCACTGCCTCTGCAATCGTCCCGTGCACCGCCTCCCTCTCGCCCAGCTGGCTCGGAGCGATGCCCGGTTCGTTCTGCATCTCGAGGTCCGCATCAAACGGCTCCCTGCCCACGATGCCACGCAGCACCGCCAGCGCGCCGACCTTGCTGGTGACCAGGTTGGCGTGTGCGCACGTCTGGCTCGTCACGCACGACGGACAGCCCTCGTTGCACGCACACGCCTCGATCACGCTGATCGCAATGCGGATGAGCCCGTCCAGATGTTCGAACGCCTTGGCGCACACCCCGCCGTTCTGGCCCGGCATGTCGTAGAAGATGAGCCGCGCAGGACGCTTGCGCGACGATGCGCGCGCCGCATACTCCTTTTCGGCGATCTTGCATTCCGTCCGCACATCGCCCGCCACCGACACCACAAACATGGGCGTGAGCGACAGCAAGGCATGTTCGGCCGCATGGATCGCCGCGGCTGCATTGATGCGTTTCTCCGTCATGGCCTCCACCAGCCAGGTGGGCACGTCGATCCACAGCCCGCGCGTGTGCCGCACAAAGGGCGGACAATCCACCTCGACCGCATCCAGAATGTTGGCGCGCCGGTCGACTTTGAAGTAGCCCCAGACGTACGAGGCGATGGTCACCTTGCCGTAGTACGCCAGGTAGGGCGACTCGCGCAGCCGTCGGATGCGGTACGTCTCCATGGCGTCTGTGTCCGTGTGGTCGCGCGGGCGCGTGTGGTAGTTGACATCCGCCTGCACCATGCGTGCGATGCGCCCATCGTGGTCGATGTCGCGACAGATGTACGACAGGCCCTGGTGCATAAACACCGCACCCTCAAACGCCTCAAAGATGGCGCGCTCCATCTCGACCTCCTCCATCACCTGCGCGCCACCCGCGCGACCGGGCGTGTCGTCGATGTAGCAGTAGCTCTCCTGCCGCGCGCCGCGGATCGCCACATCGCGCGCCGGATTCGGACGCAGCTCCTCGCGGCAGTAGAAGAAGCCGCTGCCATCCGCCTCGAGCCGCGTCTGGCACAGCGTCGCGAGGTGCGGGCCAAAGTACTGCTCGTCGTCCTCGACCGTGATGGGCATCTCCTCGGCCGCACACTGTAGGTGCGACTCGAGGATAAAGTCGTTGCCCAGATCCACCGACAGCGCCGCATCGGGTTGCAGGAAGATCTCGTCGGGGAAATGCATGTAGTGCTGATCCATGGGCCACGGATCGCCGATGAGCACCGCCAGCGAGTCCTTCTGTCGCCGTCCCGCACGCCCGGCCTGCTGTCGCAGACTCGAGATGGAGTAGGGAAAGCCGAGCATGATCACGGCATCCAGACTGCCGATGTCGATGCCCAGCTCGAGCGCCGAGGTGGCGACGATGCCGAGCAGCGCGCCCTTGAACATGTCTTGCTCGATCTTGCGTCGGTCCTGCGGCGAATAGCCGGAGCGGTACGACATGACCTTGTTCGCCACGTCCGGCCGGTCCTCGAGCAGCAGGTCGTTGCGCACCTGGCGCATCACGATCTCGCACGTGCGTCGCACCTTGGTGAAGACGATCGTGCGCACGCCGCGCTGGATCAGATGCCGAAAGACCTTGCTCACCTCGGCGTACGAGCTCACCCTCCCCTGCGCCGGGTCGCTCTCGTCGATCAGCGGCGGATTCCACACGAGCCACTCCTTCCTGCCTGCCGGCGATCCGTCCTCGGTGACGACATGCACATCGTGCACGCCAAACAGCGTCTGCATATGCTCCCTCGGGTTGGCCACGGTGGCACTGCAGCTGACGAATTGCACCTCGCGGTTGCCGAGCGCACTGCAGATGCGCCTGAGCCTGCGCATGATGAAGCTGACGTGCGCGCCAAACAGGCCGTTGTAGATGTGCAGCTCGTCGACCACGACGTAGCGCAGATTGCGCAGGAAGCGTCGCCACACATCCTCGCTCGGCAGGATGCTCTGGTGCAGCATGTCCGGGTTGGTAAAGATGACGCTGGCGCGCTCGCGGATGTCCTTGCGCAGATGCTTGTCCGTGTCGCCGTCGTACGTGGCGACGATGGCGCCCTCGACGCCCTCGCAGTTGGCAATCAGGTCCTGCAGCGACCGCCGCTGGTCCTGCGCAAGCGCCTTGGTGGGGAAGATGAACATGGCGGTGGCGTCGCCGTCGTGCTCGAGTGCGCCGAGCACCGGCAGCTGGTAGATGAGCGACTTTCCCGACGAGGTCGATGTGGAGACGATGACGTTCTTGCGCTCGTGCAGCGCGTTGAGCGCCTCGGCCTGGTGCGCATAGAGCTGCTCGATGCCGTGCGTGGCATAGAGGGCATTGACCACCGCTTGCGAAAGCAGATAGTTGAGCTCGCCCATCTTGGCGGGACGCTGGTCGAACACCTTGTGGCCGCCCGGAACGATCTGGTCCTTCCACCACGGTGCGATCCTCATCTCTTCGATGACCGAGGCGATGGAAGGGCGGTGTTCGGGATTCTTCATGAGGAACTCGAGGCGGATGCGCTTCTTGTGCGGTGTATCGCCCTCGGTCCTCGAGGCGGTCTCGGGGTTGAGCGGGACGTGGTCGTGGGCGGCATCGATGAGCAGCTGCACCGGATCTTCGTCCTTGGCGCTGCATGCGGCGAGCAGCTCGAGCACGGCCTGTTCGAATTTGAAGTTGCGCTTGTTGATGAGCTTCATCATGGACGCCGTCGAGGGGAGCGAGTAGAGTTTGCGCTTGGGCTTGGGCTTGGGCCTGCCTGTGGGGTCGGCGGGGTCGCGGTTGGGGCCGCGACGCATGCCCGGTCGGCCACCTCGGGCCGTAGCCTTGGGGCCCTGGAGCGTGCCGTCGTTGAACTCGAAGAGAAGCACGTACTCGTCGCGTGCGCGCTGCTTGCCCTTGCGCTGCAGCTGCTGCACCTCGAGCTCGGTGGGTGGCAGCAGGGGACCGTGCGGCCCGCCGCTTTCGTGTGCATCCGAAACGTCTTGGAAGCCGCCGCCCGTGGCATCGAATCCCGCGGCGTCGACCGCGAGCGGCGCAGCAGCCGCCGCCGATTGCACAGACATGGTCTGATCGTCAGGGATGTAGGGATCGCCGTCTGCAATCGCCTCTGCGGCGTGTTGGTACATTTCGTCGCGCAGCTCCAGGCGCGATTTTTGGCGCGGCTTGGCGGTGTTGCTTGCGGGATCTTCGGCGTTGGATCGGGAGTCCATGTGGACTTGGAGCATGTCGTGCTCGACGTAGGCAAAGTGGATGAGGTCGCCGCACAGGCTCTTGATCTGCGCAATGTCGAAGATCTGGAGCGGCTTTTTGGTGAGCCCCTCGACGCTGCTTTTGATCGTGTCGTAGGTGGTGGCCATGTGCTTGCGCGCCGAGCAGAAGGAGTAGACAGTGTTGATGGCGCGAAAGGTCTTTTCGAGCTCGAGAAAGTGGTCGGGCCACGGATCCTTGCGTTCGAGCACGGGCTTTTCGGGCGGCTGCGGCGCCTCGGATTGCGTTCGGGAGGTATCGGAGGGTGCAACAGAGGGCTGCCTGCCCACGAGGGCTTGCCGAGCTGCAGAGGAGCTGGATGCAGCTGACGCGGTGGCAGAGCGTGCCTTGCGTGCTGCTGCTGATGCTGCTTGTCTCTGGGCTACAGGAGGTGGTGTTCTTGGAAGATCGAGTGTGGGTGGTGCTGGCGCGATGCGAGGTGTTGGAGTGGCAGGTGCAGCAAATGCTGGAGGTGGAGACACGATCTGGAAGTCATCTTCTCCGTCCTCATCGTCTTCAGACTTGATCTCTATCACCTCGGTCTCGTTCTTGACGTGTGCGGGAGTGTGTCGTGGGCGAGGTGCGGCAAGCGTGGGCGAAGCTAGCACGGGATCGTCGTCCGAAATCTCGGCCGTTTCTTCCTGCTTGGCCTGGACGACAGTGCGATTTGTATGCGATATCTGACTGCCTGCATTGGGGTGCCGCGAGGTGGTCTGGTTCAAGCTGCGCAAGCGCGCATTCTCGACCGCATCGGCCACACGTCGACTGGCGGCCTTGCGTCGAGTCTCGGAGGGAAGCTCTGTGGGATCCTCCGGTACGTCCCATCGTGCAAATGGAGAGTCGGTGGCGGGCGCAGGGGTTGCAGAGGCTCTGCCGAGGAAGAGCGGCTGCTCCTCGTCCGAGTCCAGCTGCTGAGCATCGTCGGCATCTGTGGAGCTTGAGATAGTCGGCAAGGCGGATCCGTTGAGACGGGCCTGAGTGCGATTGTGGAGGATGCGCTGACCCTTTCGGATCAGCTTTGGCATGGTGTGGGCTATGCTGGCATGAGGGCGGGAGGTTGTGTGGCGAAGGTGAACGTCAAGATGGGATGTTGGCTGAGTTGGACGCTTTGTGCATATGACTGATGCCTCCACCTCCTTTTCTTCGCGTAAATTGGCATTTTGGCGTGCCTTTTTTTTCTCTTCCTTTTTGGTGTTGCAGCACCGCCCCTTCTTGTCGCACGACCACCATCTTTTGCCTACCGCACCTCTGCATCTCCATCGCATTCTCCACCATGCCGCGGCTACGAACATCACGATCCACGCCTCCACCAGAAGGCTTCGAGGATATCGAGCAGATCCTCGACGACTACGAGCGCAAGATGCGCGATGCCGAGGCGGACGACTCGCAGAACAAGCGCAAGGTCGAGACGCTCTGGCCGATCATCCAGATCAACCACACGCGCTCGCGATACATCTACGACCTCTTCTACAAGCGCGAAGCCATCTCGAGAGAGCTATACGATTGGCTGCTAAAGTACCAATATGCAGATGCAAAGTAAGCCCCGCGCCACAATCCCAACCTGATCGCTGTATTTTGGTAGAGCTTACTGACCTCGAGTGTTGATTGTGGGTCTGGGCAGTTTGATAGCAAAGTGGAAGCGGACGGGGTACGAAAAGTTGTGTTGCGTACGATGCATCCAGTCGAGGGACATGAACTACCAGGGCTCCACCTGTGTCTGTCGCGTGCCCAAGGCTCAGCTGCGTCCAGGCACCGTCGTCGAATGCGTCCATTGCGGATGCCGCGGATGCAGCTCGTCCGATTGATACCCCTGTCAATGCAAGTAGTTGAACGATCCATGTCGGTGTGTACGTGTGTTGAGGCACGACAGCGTTCAACGTTTCAGCATCGTGTCGCTCTGCCAGGTGGTAATGCGCACGGGTTGAGGCAAGGCCAACGCGAAATCCCTGCGCACCGCACTCGCTTCCTCGAGCATGCTCAAAGTTGGTCGTCGTCATAAAGCGTTAGTATCGCCCTTGCGTCCTGGACCATCCAGAGTGCGCGCAATCTTGTCGCCTGCCATCTCAACTCGACAATGCACGCCGGATAGTACCGCCCCAACCATCCCAACATGCCCCGCAATGCGCAAACTTGACTTCGTCTTGCCCGATTCACACCCCTCCATCGCACACGGACATCCAACGCCAATCAAAAGAGAGAGAGAGATACATTTCCGCATCCAATACATCACGCACAGCAAGCACAGCAACGACTAGTCTACACGCATCGGGCTACCAGGCACGACACCCGCGGCATGGGCGCCATCGATAATCGGCTTGCCCAGGTTGTCCAAGCGGGGAGCACCCGCAGCCGCCTTGTTCCTCCTGCCGAGCAGCGTGGCGTTGCCCATGTTGAGCTCAAAGCCACGCTTCCGGTTCGAGTTCTGGCCACGGTCCCTCGGACCTGCCCTGCCGTCGTACAGTGCCGCTTCAGCCAGACGGCGGTCGGCACCACCGCGGCCCTGGTACTGCTGCGCCTGTCGTTGCGGCTGCTGTTGCGGCTGCTGTTGCTGTTGCGGTGCTGCTTGACGAGGTTGCGCCTTGGCAGCGCTAGCCTCGTTGTGCACGCGTGCGCCGCGCTGGCTCTCCACCGCGCGGCCCGCCTCCTCGCCGTACTTGCGGCGCGCCTCGTCGGCCTCGTCGCTCTCGTCCTCCTCGTTGAGCTCGCCGAGCGGGTTGCCGCCGCCGGCGCGCTTGCGTGCGCCCTCCTCCTCCATGCGGTGCACGGCGTACGTCACGTCGAAGGCCTCCTTGAGGCGGTTGATGCCCGGCGACATCATGGCGTTGCGCGCCGCGTTGCCCGACTTCATCGACGCCAGCAGCGGCGAGTCGAGCGGCATCTCGGACGCCTTGGCCAGCGCAATGTCGGCCGAGTTGAGGTCCGGGATGGGGTCCTTGACGTTGCACCATGGATGACGCAGGAACTCGTCGATCGTGTATCGCTGGCGAGGGTCGACGCAGAGGAGGTGGGTGATGAGGTCCTTGGCCGAAGCGCTAATGTCGTCCCACCACGGACTCAAAAAGGTGTAGTAGCCCTTGGCCACCTTTTCGGTGAGCACCGAGATCGACTCGTCGTAGAAGGGCGGGAAGCCGCAGAGGAGCGTGTAGAGCACGCAGCCGAGCGCCCACATGTCGACCGACTTGGAGTAGCGCTCGTCCTTGACGATCTCGGGCGCCGTGTAGCCGACGGTGCCGCAGGGCGTCATGGTGCTCTCCTCCCACACCACCTTGCTCAGGCCAAAGTCGGCGATCTTGACGCGGCCGATGCCGCCACCTCCGATGCCGGGCATGAACTCGCCCTCGTCCTCCTTCTCCTCGTCGTAGGGACGCTGGATGGGATGCTTGGAGGGGATGATCTTGATCGACTCGAACAGCAGGTTCTCGGGCTTGATGTCGCGGTGCACCACGCCGCGCTCCTCGTGCAGATAGCGGATGGCATGCGCGACCTGAAGAATGACGTGGCGGGCAAGCGCCTCGCTAAAGTAGGTGAGCTTGACGATCTGATGGAAGAGCTCGCCGCCCTCCATGAGCTCGAGCACCAAGAAGTAGTGATCGCGCGACTCGGAGAAGGAGAGCAGATCCACGATACCGTCGTGCTTGAGGTTGCGCATGATCTGGACCTCCTTGAGGATGTTGGCGCGCTGTTGTGTGGAAAGTTGAGCAAAACAATGTCAGCGACCATAATCTCGACAGTCGATGCAGGTGCGATCATAGGAGAGGGCAAGGACCACGTGTGGAGTGGAGATGAGAGGCACAACGACGCCGCTCTCTGGCCATGAGTGCGGCCGCAAAGCGACGAGAATGCCGTGTTGCGCCGGGAGACCTGGTCGTATGAAGACGAGGGGATCCCGAGCCAGGTGAAGGTGAGGGAAATGATATGGGGAAGGGTTGTTCGCAAGCGGCGAGGACGCAGGACTTTCGTTCTGCGGTTCCCTGGGCCGGATGGCGAACATAGGGAAAGAGGGCTGTGCCAAGGGAAGAGTGGAGAGCCGAAAGCTGGGGTGGAACAAGACGAGGGGGAGGGGAAAAGCGCGTGAGACGGACCTCTGTGACGCGGTTCTTCTTTCTGAAGTTGGGGTCAAGTCGATCCTGTGAGCCGGCGGTGTGGGCAAGGGTGTTTTGTAGATACAGCGTCGCGGAGGGCGGCGAGAGGACCACCAGGAGCGTCAAGGAAGGAGGGTAAAATGTGGTTAGTTCCGTTCGGGCTGTTTGCCTTTTGCACGGCATCGAAGCGCTTGTTCCGCTCTCTTGTTCGGGTCGTCGTGTGTACGGGTTGAGCATAGGAGCCTGGGGCAAGTCAGTGCGACACCTCAACAAGAACCGGGTTGCCCTTTGATCCGAAGATCAAGGCACAGCGAGCAACCAAGCTTTGACGAGGAAGCGGTTGGACGAGGGTCATCAGCCTGGCGCCTGCAGCGTGCCGACCACGCCCGCGCTGTTGCAAACGGAAGAAGTGGACGGAGCTTGGCAGGCGACCTAGCGCCGAGAGCGGATGGCATGCGTCTTGCTGCCGGTCAGAAGCACCTTGGCCAGAGGCGTTCTGAACGGCAGTTTGAGCGCAGCAGGAGCGGGTGGGAAACTGGCAAGATTGCCCATGCACGCCGCTCGTGTAAGAAGGGAACGAAGCGGGTCGCAAGCGACTACGAAACACCACGACGGAACGATGGAACGACGGAACGACGGAACGAAGGAAGGAGACGGAGCAGAAAGCACGAGAAAGCACGACACCACGAGCGGAGGGCGAAAGCGGAAGTGGAGAGGGGCACCCACCTGATTGCTGTTGAGTTCGTACTTGCGCACGACCTTGATGGCGACCTTCTGACCGGTCTGCCTGTCGCGGGCCTTGTATACGTTGGAGAAGGCGCCGTCGCCCATCTTCTTGATGAGCTGGAAGCGCTCGCTGAGGCCTTCGTAGTAGGGCATCTTTTCCGAGGCTTCGCGCTCCTCTGCGACGATGCGCTCTGCCTCGCGCTGGTATTGGTCGCCCTTGGAGGAACCTGCGGCGGGGACGGCGAGGTGGTTGCCGTTGCTGGATTGCCTCATGTCGCGCGCCTGGTCGGACTGATGTTGGTTGGAGGTGGAGGTGGAAGGTGCGGCTGTTGTGGAGGTTGTTGATGCGGCAACGGCTGCTGTGGAAGGGGCGGCGTGGGAGTGGGAGGTGGCGGCGGGGACGGGCAAAGCCTTGTCGCTCGGGGCAAAGCCTGCTTGTTGTGTGTCTGTTGCGGGCTGGACTTGGATTGAGGGGCCGGCGGCAGCAGGATCGTTCTGTAGGATCAATGGGGAGCAAGGCGGGTGTTAGTCAGGACTTTGATTGGAGTGGAGTGCAGCGATGCGATGCGACGCAGGTGGGGACGGGTGCGCCATTCGACATTGGAGCCCCACCACACGTGTGGCCCGATGCAAGATACGGGGTGCGGAAGCTTGTTTGGTTGGAAGCGGAAGCGAGAGCACTTACGGTCAAACCTTCTGGCGCTTCGCGAGCAGCCTTTCCGTGTCTGATAAAGTTTTTGAACTGCTCCAATACTGGCATGGTTGGGTGTGATTGGCCGAAGACGATGAGTTCTTTGTATCAGGGAGGCTGCGGAGGGGAGAAGCGGACTCGCTGAGGAGTCGGTAGGATCTGGATTGACTGGGACTAGCGGCGACTTGGTCTGTGCTTGTCGCCGATGTAGCTGGAGAACGGGCGAAAAGGAAGATCGATGCGAGATGGAGGAAGGGTTGTCGTGCAAATGGCGCGGCGTTGGAGAGAATTTGGAGCGACGATGGGAGCGATTGGAGACGGCGGATGCAGCTGGGCTGGCAGTTGGTGAAGTGGGTGTTGTGGAAACGAGTGTCGCGGACGAGATAGACAGCGAGCGTCTACTCTAGGTGAAGGTTTGCGGCGGGAGTAGGTGTCGATGATGGTTGGAAAAAAGGAGGTTGTGGTGAAGGTGAAGGAAGGAGGACGGTCGGATGGTTGCGAGTTGGATGGGTGGATTAAAGCTTAGACGGATCAAGAAGCCGAGGCAGCTGCGAGGTGCTCGAGATGACGAGGAGGCAGTGCGGCGAGTGTGGGTCGAGATGGTCGGGGCGTGGTTGGGTTGGATGCAAGGGCCAGGGATGAGCGTCAGATGACGATGTCGGTGAGTGAGGCACGGCGCGGTGTGGTACGACTGCAGCACGGCACGGCACGGCACGGCAGGGCAGCGGCGTCTGTCGGGAGCGGTGGACGATGGTGCAAGCCGGGGCTGGACAGTCAACGCGGGTCGAGGTGCAGGTGCAGTCGGAGGAGCAGGTGAGGGCGATGAGGTCAGGCCGGGGAGGGGCTATGGAGCCAGGTGGGCGGGCGGAGAAGGGTGAAAAGCGTGCAGATGCGGAGGTGACGAAACTCGACGCGAGTCCCTGCAGCAGAATCAAGGTCCGAGGGACGCAAAGGAGGGCTGGCAGATTGAGTGAGTGAGTGAGTGGGTGAGTGGGTGGATGAGGATGGAGATGGAGATGGTGCTGCGGCTGCGGCTGCGGCTGCGGGCTGAGCGACGAAGAAGAGATTGGCGGGCCGAGGCCGAAAATAGTGATGCCTGGCAAGCCGAGGCTGCCGTTGCCGTTGGCTGGCGGTCGGTGCACTGCTGCTGTCCAAGCGCTGCCGAGTGGAAATGGCTGAGCGCTGAGCAGCGGTGATGCGGTTGATGACGACGATGATGCGCTGAGCTGCGCCGAGCTGCGCTGCGCTGCGTCGAGCTGCAGCACCTCGCCAGCCAAGCCGTGCCAAAGCCCTAAAAAGTGCAATTCCCAAATCCAAGACGCCATCATCCGGCATCTTTTCTTTTCCCATTGTCTAGGCTTGACCTGGCACTATTCTCCACGTCCACACGTCCGCCGGACTCAAGCCGTGCTGCGAATGTTTCGCCTTGTCTTTACGATTCGACTTCACCTCATTCACACAATCTCGGCGCCCATCCGACGTTGCGACGTTGCGGCAGAGTGGCAGAGACTTTGAATATCTCGGTAGGAAACGCGCACACGGGACGCGGCGGCAATTGGTGACGACACGACCGCCCGCTCGCCAGCCAGCCAGCCTGGGATACCTGGGAAATTGAGTCGATTTAGCGTGTGGCTGGCGCAAATTCAATTCATTTTTGCTTTTCCCATTGGCGCGCGCTGCAGCTCGACGTAATGCCACAGCCTAGCCAGAGCAGCTTCTCTCTCCGCTGCCATGACGCTGGGCCGCAGCCGCCAACACACAACGCCAAGGCCTCCCGCTCGCCCTTGGTCAGCACAAAGCAGTGTCCATGACGCACGCACTCCCGCTTATCCTCTCCCCCCCCCCCCCCC